ACGAAAAATTAAAATTAGAAAATACTAGTTTGTTTCATGCTAAATGTGATGCTATATTAGAAGTTGAGAACATTAGAAAAGAGTTTACTTCCTTCAAAATTGATCATGCATGTTCTACTTCTAATAACAATGCTTGTGTGGATAATAATGAGTTGAATCATGTTAAAAATTGATCATGCATGTTCTACTTCTAATAACAATGCTTGTGTGGATAATAATGAGTTGAATCATGTTAAAAGTAGAATATCCTCTTTAGATTCAACATATGCTTGTGTGGATAATAATGAGTTGAATCATGTTAAAAGTAGAATATCCTCTTTAGATTCAACATTAAGAACTTGCATTGTTAATAACAAAAAGCTTATGGATATATGTGCAAAGTCCCGTGAAAATTCTTCCAAGAAAACTACACACTATGCACATATGTATAACAAAATTTACAAGTGTTCAATTTGCTGTCGTAAAGGCCATATTACTAAATTTTGTTATAATACACAAAAGCCTAACAAGCCTAATCATGTTTGTGCATCCCATCAAGCTTCTTCCATCTCATACACATGTACACACACATAGTGATAATCATAAATATGCTCATGTGTACAAATATGATTTTTATGGTCGCTTTGGTCATTTAGCCAAGTATTATTTTGATTTAAAAAGAAATTCAATTTTGCCATATGTTTCTAAAGAACCACATGTGTTTAAGTGCAATATTTGTGGTAGATTTGGACATCTTGTAAAATTTTGTTATGATTTGCAAAAATCTTCTAGATTGCAAAATGTTCCAAATAGACCATTGTTTAAAAATGTTTCGTATTTACAAAAAACTTCAAATAATTCACCTTTGTTTGCAAATGTACCACGTGCACATCCACATGGTCAAAATAAACAAATGCATCCTCTTCATTGCACTTATTGCAATCGAATGGGTCATTTGCATAATTATTGCTATGATCGGACCCGTACACAAAATGTGCCTAAATGGGATCATAACCTAGGGCTTTGAGCTTTAATGATAGGGATCATGTCCCTAGACTCTTAGGTGCCAAGAGTAATTGGGTACCAAAATATGTTCGATCTTTAAGAATAAATTATTTTACTTTTTAGTTTTTCATGTTCTTAAAGACGATTTTTTAAGTTTTATAAACAAAATTGAAAACAATTTTATGCTTGGTATTTGATTTGAAAAGTTATCATTCATATTTTTTCATGATTCTCTTTCATAGACTTTCATGTTTTCATCCTTTATGAATTGATACAATTTTTATCAAGATGATTTTTTCTATGTTAAAACATCATTTTCATTATTATACATTGTTTTCATTTTTTTTAAGTTTGAACAATGTGTTTGTGTTTATAGGATCATTATAAAACACTCTTATGATGATATTTATGTGTTTGAGCTTTCGGATCATCTATTTGTGATTTATAATGTATTCCTTATATGGTTTGATCAAGTTTTACAAAGAAGATTTCTTCTATTGATCAAACACTTTTTAGATATAATCTTTGTTTTGTATTTGCATATGAGAGGGTTATATGTTTGAGCAACCCCCGGGAGGTTTATCGGATGCTAAAAGCTTTATTTGGGTTGAAACTTGTTTCAAGAGCTTGTTATGCTCACCTCTCTTGCTTTTGTCGAAAATGATACAATATATATACTTTGAATTTCTTTTAGTATCATTTGAGGCTTTTATTTGAACCTTCATGAGGTTTAGGATTTTATTTTATTTTTTATTTCATGATCTACTTTTGTTTATATCTAAATAATGTTTTATGATTGGGTATTGAGACACCTTTTATATGTCTATTTGTGCTCTCAATCAATCATGTTTTATGGTGGATAATTTGTAATTTTTTTAAATCATTTGATGTTTAATTTTTTTTTCTTCTTTGAAATCTTTTAGGTTTTATGTTTTACTCTTGTGACACTTTGTATTCATGATACACATATGTGTGTTCACTTGGTCTTCTTTCATGTGAGTGGTGTTTAGCAAATTTTTCCATCTATGTTTACTCACATATGTTTGCCATACTCATATTGAATATTTTCCTTATGGCTTGTTGATAGGGGGGAGATATCCCTATATCTTTTATGTTTTATATTCTCACTCATGCTTACATGTAGGGGGAGTTCTTAGCTCTCATTATGTTTTTCCCCATTTTTGATGTTGCCAAAGAGGGAGAAAAATGTGAGATGTATAATACTTGTTTGATTGTTTTATTGATTTGATTATGCATATTGGTAAATTGTTTGTCATCATCAAAAAAGGGAAGATTGTTGACCTTCTTGTTTTAATGATGATTTAACAAACAATTTACGACTAATATTGGTTTTAGTATTTTGTTTTGTGTTGTTTAGTATACACAAAAAATTGAGCAACATTGATATTGAAGCCTATGCAAATCGAGTCAATCAATCAAAGTTCAAGCATCAGAAGATTCATTCTTGATATACTTAGTATAGGATTATATAATGTGTGCAAATTCTACAAGCTCAAATATACACACACATTTTATTTGTGAATTTTCTCAAATATAGGTGTTTTTATGCAAAATATATTTTAATATGCTTTAGACTATACAAACATTATTAACATCTTTTATTATGTCCATAAAAACATTACACAAATTTTTAGAACTTGATTTGAGTTAAATGTCAAAATCAACATGCTTAAAACATATGTATTTTTAGTGCTTTTGAATTTTTCTGAGATTTCACAAATGATAAGAGCAAATTAAAAAATTCATTTTCCAACATGTTCATAATTATGTTTATAAACTTTTCCCAAAGTTTTACATTTTTTGGAATTTATTTGCTATTTTAAAAGAACTTTAAAATTCGTTTTCAAAAATCAATACAGGCTGAAAACCTGTTATCAGTCGACTGATAATATTTATCAGTCGACTAAAGAAATATCCTGCAATCTTCAAAGTTTTTTTTTTTTTTTTTTTTTTTTTGTCGACTGATCTGTTGACTGATGACGTCATCAGTCGACTGACCATGCTTATCAATCGACTAATAAGCTGTCGTTTGCCTATAACGGTCAGCTCATCAGTCGACTGACGCAACCCGTCAGTTGACTGATAAGCCCAACGGCTATTTTTCCAGCCTTTTGCAATTTTATCTTTTTGTTGGATTATCTTGGGTTTTGAGCTTTGGTTTTTCATCCTATATATACCCCTCACTACTTCAGTTCCGCATAAGAAAAAAAAGGTTTTTAACAAGAGTTTCTAAGTGTTTAAAGTTTGTTTAAGTTTCTAAATTTGAGTTTACAAAGAGGAGGCTTGCATTTTTAATTGAGGAATTCATCCTCAATCTTCTTCATCCTCTATTGTGTTTATAGAGAAGTTTTTCTAAATCTTTTCCCTGGCAATTTTATTATTGATTTTCATATTCTTATTATTGCTAATTTGCTAATTTATTTAGATTTTATTTATACTTATTTTATCACACACACCCTATTTGAGCTTTTAGTATTTCATACATCATATATTGGGTTGTGGGATTGTGATTTTGTGAGAGTGAGCTTACATTGAGTTCTCATCTATATTAGAGAACATTTTATTGTATTTGAGCATTATTATGAGTTACACATGGTATTATACTTGTACACGGAGAGGAGTGGTTGGTGAGAGACGAGGTCGATCCCAAGAGGAGTGGCGTCGGTTGTAAAGCCTAGAGAGATGTTGTAAATCCGAGCACTTGAGGAAGAGGACACATGCTAGGCCAACACTTGGAGGGTGTAGAGTGTGATTGCAAGTGTGAAGTTGTAAAGTTTTCGGTGAACTAGAAAACCGAGTTGTGAGGTGTAAACGTTATTCGGGTGAGCGTAGAAAACCCGGTTGTGATAGTGAATTTCTCCTCGGGAGTGAAGAGCAGAGACGTAGGACGGAAGGTCCGAACTCCGTGATCATCCTTGTGTGTTAGAGTTTGCATTGGCGTATCATTTGTGTCTATTGCGTAGTGTATTTTATTCGTCATGGCTCATTGTTTACTTTGCCTTATCACATTTGTTTTTGCTTATCATTGCTCATATCACATTGTATATCTATCTTGCAAGAACAATTTGTTAATAAGTTTTAATCGGCATTAATATCTAATAAGATTAGCAATAACCCTATTCATCCCCCCTCTAGGGTGTTTTCATGTTCATATCTTCTTCTTCTTTTTCCTTGCAGATGATTATTTAAACATTTATCAAACATTTCACATATATAAATCTTTTCTGGCTCTATTGAAGATAATTGATACAACTTGCTAATCGCTATATTATTTTGTTAACTGATTTGAACATTCACACTGTAAATAGTAGTAAAAAAAATTTATTGTTGATGTTTTTATAAATAGTTATATACAAAAACTATATTATCAATTTAGCGACAAATATATCTCAGTAAATAATACCCTTAGCAACACGCGGAATTAATACTAGTATTGTCATAATTAAAAAAAAGATAATGAACAATCCTCAAACCATCAATAAGTCATAAAAGATGTCTCATGGGGAAGAGATCAGGAAGTTTACTAGAAGACATTTTTATTGTTTCCTTATCTTTAAACCATAAATCCTTAAGAGCAGTCGTAAAAAGACTTGACTCAAATTCTGAGATTCCTTTTGTCCGTGTGACAATCTGTTGCAGCAACAGGGGTCCAGCATTAATAGCAGCAACAGCAGGAAACAAAGAAAAGGAGAAGATTATAGCCCTCATCGAAGTACGAACGTAGTTAAACAAATGATAACCTTTATCTTCTATCAATAAACTCGAAGAAAATCCGGTGACACCTTCAAGTTTTCAAATCTCAATGGACTAGGATCATTGATGTGCAACCTTATAATCCTAAGATAAAGATATCAGTTTTGGTTAGCTTATGCTCGTGTAGAAAATCTAATATTCGCTTTCGAGGAATAAGCAAGACAAGGATGCCCACATAAATGTGGATCAAGATTCAAGACCACGCAGGCCTCTTGTACATGTGGAAAATTTTACAGATCAAATAACTCAGAGACATAACTTATTTTCCTTTTACTCCCAAGTGAACATTTAAAAATATATGTAGATGTCTAACATATGAGGGCGTAACATATGTACGTTCACAAGATAACATAAATATCGAGTTATGCTATAGAACTGCATAGTCAATATTTGTACATATCTGAAAGAGTAGATGGTTGGTTATTTTTTTCGTTTCCTTTCATGATGACCGTCTTCCATCATACATGTACTTCCATTCATCCAATAAGCCTCTCTATTTGCTGCAGTAAAGATAATAACAAGACAATACCTTGCTTCAGTATCAATCACATTTCATCAAATACCATTTAGGAAAGCAATTGAAATTTTCAAATAAGGATAAATTTCAATCTAACCCTCTAAAACCTAATCGCTTTAGTTAGATAAGGCCTCTCAGTTTCTAAAGTCTCTAATGTACCCTCCTAATACCATAGATAATACTTTGACCTCTCGGTCACCTTATCTTCTTCACTATTATCAAGTGAAAAGAGAGAGTTTCTTGTGCATGCCTCATCTTCTTCACTATTATCAGGATTCAGGGTTGGGATTTTAATTAATGCGCTATAGTAGTTAAGAATTTTTGTTAAATTTAGGGTTATGTTTAAATCAAAAACCCCTTGAACCAAATACATCTTCAGAAGGATAATATTTGCAAATAACAGTGCAAAAATGAAAGTTTCATGAGCTATTGCTGCTGTTTCTTTACATGGTGAAAGGATTTTCTACTGTTCCCAGAGTTTTCTTTATACCTGGGGCATGCTTTGTGCAGGACCATTCTTGCCATTTTGGGTATGAGATATAATGGTTGTACGGGTTATGAGGTGAGGGCTTTTCTCTTTGTTGATGAGTCCAGTTTACACAAGTATAGCTTTTGTTTTTGGGTTTCTTTATAGGAGATTGTTCCTATCGCAGTTTTGAGTAATGGTTGAAAAAGAGTGTACTTCAAAGTTTTACTTGGTAATGAATAACATCTAACCTTTCTTACCAGAAAAAATGGGCAAAAAATTATAATTCATCACTTTTCAGTAACATGTTTGGGAAAGAGGAATGATGTGAAAACTCAAGAGGAGCAAAAAGATCAAATTGAGGAAGCTTTTCAGATTTTAGCTATGTTGCATGGGTACTTCTATCATGAAGCCATAACCGTACCGGACACTTCTTGGACACCCTTTGAATTAATGCATACATTTATCAGACATGTACTAATTATATAAACATGTTTTAATTTAAAACACTCGTCATACACTTATTGGACGTATAACATACAGTTCACATCCACTTTTTGAATCTTTTTGGACAAAGGTCTGATTCATTTCAGCCAATACTAAGCTCCAGAACTATAGTTTTAAAGGGTCGTTTGCCTAACATGAGCAGTTTTCCAATTTCTAAGCAACATATAATAAAAGAAACAACAATATTGATCTCATGTAAATTATTAATTTCAGTATATATATAGCTGTCCCAGTACCCTTTTTTTTCAAATTCTCCACGTCCTGTATGCATACCCACGCACACACCCCTACCCGTTCCTTCAGGGAAAAAAAATTAAGTTGATATTGATCCATCCTATAAGTATGGTTATAAATGACATTTGACAATTAACAGGCCATATTTACCGTTATGAGTGCAATCAGACAACAATCACTGTTCAAATCGTTTAAAATGTTTCTAGTAGTCATACCTTAATTGTCTGAATACTTCTCAGTTCTTGTACTTCATTGCCTCTTTCTCAAATCCAATTGTTGGGAACTGCTTTGCATACTCCTCTACACCATGGCGGAGCCTTGCAATCTCTGATTGGATATTAGCATCTCCATTAAGAGTAGCCACAAAGTCCTTAAGCTTTGACCCACCTATTTCATAACCAGGATTGATAAATAGCACCCATTTATAATTATGCAAAGAAATTAGAGAGATACAAAACATGAGACGATAAAAATATCAAAACATTAGAGACAATTAGATACCTTTGGTTTCAGCCTTCACCTTGATGGCAATTTTAACAGCAGCATCAAAAAAGTCAGCCACTTTTGCAAAGTCCTCTTCAACAAATCCCCTTGATGTAAGTGCTGGAGTTCCTGCAGAGAGAAAGAAACAACTAAGATATATTGATTTGTTGCAGTGAAAACAACATGCTCCTAGGAAAAACACAAACCCATTCTTATGCCACCAGGAACCATTGCAGACACATCACCAGGAACGGTGTTTTTGTTAGCAGCAATGTGAACAGCCTCCAAAACCTTTTCAACCCGGGATCCATCAACTCCCTGCCAAATACACTCAAAAATAAATGATGGGAACAACAAAAAAGGTTATCACCCTCAGAGTTAAGAGAAAATGCATGACATACTTCACTTCCAATATGGAATAAACAGGTAGTCACAATTTTTAAACAGGACATTGCCCAGGTATGGAAAAAAATATATATGTAATTACACGTGTCCTTCGGGAAATATAATATCCAGCAGAAATATCTGAGACGATGATTAATACTAACTTAACAAGAAGGATATGTTCAGCAATCAGTACTCAGGAAATGTTTGGTTCAACTGATTTTCAGGGCCAGTTGATTATTTCATTGCAGTGGAATTATTCTTCTTAATTTTTATCTAGTGTTCCTACCTTCTAAGAACAAAACAAAACAAAATCTAATGAAAGCTTATTACTCATTTTAATAATAATTAAAATGATTCAAAAGAAAACTTGCACTCTTAATTTTTAAAAAAGATAAAGAACAATTATTACAAAGAGAGAGAGTTAATAATTTTATTATGATGTCTAAGATCAACTTCACAGTTGCAATCCAATCAATTGCAAGTCAAAACAAACACCTGTAACTTGAAGTTGTAACTTTTAGATTGTACCAAACTAATGCAATTAAAAGTGCATGTGAACAATGGCAGTTATTGCAACTGAAACTTATAAATACAGTTCCAGTGAATTAAACATCCCCGGTGTTATTTTAAAATAAATACATTTTGAAGTAGTGATCATGCACTATCAACTTTGATATGGAGAAGCATCCATTTGCCTGCAAAAACACTACTACATAACATGGACCTAAAATTGCTTTGAAGGTTATTCTTTTGGAATCTGGATCCCCTCCACTACTAAAAAATAGTGGAGGGACCACTAGTTTTAATCCCAACCGCTGATTATCTAGTGGGTGATTGTTATACATTCTAAATCTAACACTCACCACTCCCCTATGTATTGCACTCATTCCTAATTTGCACTAAAGAAAAAATTATACACACTCATTATCTAATCAATAGTTGTGATTAAGTAGTGGCCTCCCACTACTTTTTTGGTAGTGGAGAGGATTCAAATCCATTCTTTTATTGTCTCCAAATTATTCGATAAGAATAAACTCCATAGAATTGAAAGAACACGCGAGTGCAGGGACTTTGTCTCAAAAGAGAGCGAATACCGTAACATAGAAAAATAGCAGATTAACGTGGAGAAGAAATGTCTGAAAAATGTAGCAAATAGGCAACTCTATCATCGTCTGCTCCTTTCATCATCATCATTTATTAGAGCATTTACTATTTATTTAGCATGTTAGAAGTGGAGAAATTTCTCTAGTCTCAATTTTAAAATTATGTAACTGTATTATATTTACAATTTAAAACATGGGATTAAGCCATTTTCTAAACAAGCATGATATCAGAGTGTTTATGTTTTTACAGCCAAAAACTTTACCCCACAAAAAGAAAAAAAAAAGAAAGAAAAAAAAACAACAAAAAAAATCCAACCTACAGTCACCGCCAAACCTCTCCTCTCTCTTACAACCTCAACGCAACCCAAAAGTTCTTTTTCACATTTCTCTAACAACACTGGTCCACTTTCAAGACCAGCAAGATTATTCTATTTTTTCCCCCTGTTTTTTTAAAGGAAACACAGCATAACTGATAGAGCCATGCACAAAAAAAAGAATTCTGTTTCCCTTTTCTTTTCTTTTTTCCTTGAATCAGAAAGCACACAAACACATACATTAAAATATTAATTACCTGATTTTTTAGATTCACCAAGACCAAATGATTCTCTGTTCCACCAGAAACAAGTTCATATCCTTTTGCAACCAAACTCTGCAACATAAATTCACCTTGGAAGTTAAAGTGTCAAGAAGGATAATAAAATAACCGGAAATAAATCATGCATGAAAAACATGGCTACAAGCAGAAACATGACACTAGTACCTGAGCAAATTTTGCACAATTACTTAGGACTTGTTCCTGATAGGCTTTGTACTCTGTAGTTGTCGCCTGCAGTTGAACAAGCAGAAATGTGTAACTATAAAACATAAGAAACATATAAAACCACTCTCTTAATATGATGAAAAGAGACACAAAAACCTACACTTGAAGTTAAAGTGGAGAATTAAGAAATATATCAAAGTTTTGTTCCTGGAATATAGTGATTAACAAACATAGCCCCCCTTTACAAATATCTATCCCACTTAGTTATGTGGTACTTATTGTTAAATTCGGTGGTCAATGTGGTAATATGATACAATAGAGATGAGTAATCTGGCAAGAGGGCTTCACTGGGATGGACCAGCTCAAGGAAGGTGGACAAGAAAGAGGGGAATTTCCTCCTTCAAACTGGGGAGGGATGCAGCTCCCTTCACTCACGTAAATTGTAATTAGACCAGCAATCTCAGATAATATTTACCAATGAATTACAAGGCCTTTTCTAATGATTTTTCTAAAAGACATCATATTTATCAATACTGGAAAGCAAAAGAAACTTTTTCTTAAACACCTAACCTGTTTCAGTGCAACAGCTAAACCAGTAATTGTATGATTGTGTGGACCACCTTGAAGCCCAGGGAAGACAGCTGCATTTATTTTATCTTCATAATCGTAGAGCACCTTCAATACAAAAATCAAATATTAATTTGGCTATTTCAGTATCAGCCAACATGACCGATTATTAGGTATTCAAATAACTACAACTAATCCAAGTCATGTCAATTCTGCCTTTCATACCTCTTTTCCTTGTTTATTTATCTCCTTTACCCCCTTTCTGAAAAAGATCATAGCTCCACGTGGACCTCGTAGTGACTTGTGTGTTGTAGTAGTCACTACATCGGCATAGTCAAAAGGAGACGGAATGACACCTGCTGCTACAAGTCCACTAATGTGTGCCATATCAGCCAGAAGGATAGCCTTCTGTTTATCACAGACCTGAAATGGTCAAATACTTGTATTGAGTTTCCCACATTGAACTTGAGATGGACTGAAATTGTAAAAAAGATAAAAACTGGAGTCAAAGTAAAATTCATTTGACTGCTGCTTCTGAATCAGAGTTTAGTTTTACCTTACGAATACGCTCATAGTCATAGAGACGTGCATATGCACTAGCTCCAGCAACTATTAGTTTTGGCCTAAAGAGTGTGGCACTTTTCTCCAACTGCAAACAAACCATAACAGCATATGAGCATAACAATATAAATAACAAATAATAGGAAAACATTTCTGTAAGTACAGGTGCCATAAAGATTGCATAGTTAGAAAAATGAATACAGAACATTAAAAGAGCAGTTGGAAAAATGGATTATGGGTGTTAAAATTGTTGGAGCCTGAAATTTAATTCAATTATCTGGAGAAAAAAATATCACATTCATGTCTTTTTAGTTAAACAATATGAATCACTACTTATTTCTATACACCAAATTTAGCTTAAATTACGTCCAAAAGATAAGATTGATTAGAGAAAAACGAAGCAGTTACCTGGTCATAATCAATGTACCCAGTGCTCTCATTCAACCTATATGGCATCGTCTCAAAGAAGATAGAGACAGCAGATATTTTTTTGGTATCAGTCTGCAACATATAAGATATTATTAGCAAATAGAAGGATGATGTGCTGAAGTCTGAACCACAAGAACTACGTCATGCCAGATATCAAAGATATACAAGGTGTCCAAGACAGAAACACTGTGCACTTTTAAGGTAAATATATGTAGCATGCACGATATTTCTCTTTTTCTTTAATCAATTTTCTAGTAAATACCATTGAACCTATGAGCTACAATTTGTTAGATTCACCAAAGAACCATTAACTTAAGCATTTTCATAAATAAACAATTACAGGGGGTATGACATTAAGATTTAAGCAATTATAGTTGAGGGCCCACTAAAATCTAGCAGGAATTAGATTGAACCCATAAAAAATTTAAAGAATGTTTATTAGTTCCTTCTATGTGGAACACAAGTCTCAAGTTAAGTACTTTCCTAATGGCAATTTATTTAAGTGCAAGAAACTGGCTTAATGATCTGTCATTGTAACTTTTTAAAATATGTTTGCTTCTGAGATGAAAGCAACCAGCAACAGCAAATCTTGTCATCTTATAACCCAAACTAGTCAGTTTTCCACTCTAAATTTGGAAGTTTGCTCCTTGGTGAGCGTAAACTGAAAGATGAATAGGTCTTCCTATTAACTTCCAGTTGGGGATCATGGTCCGATGGTGGCGTAATAGGGGGTTAATGTGGAGAGTAGCAATTTTCTATAAAAATAAGTCTAAAAGGATATGGTTAGAAAAAATAGGGAGACACACACATAGATAAGATAGGGACTCACACCCGAGAAACTACAGGAAATTACACCCCCAGGAAAGAGAAGGAATCACACATTCAATCAAATAATTTATAATTCTCAATTAATATACTCAGCCTCACAATTCCAATTACACCAAATTCTTTTATAGGTGACTCAAATCTCAACCAACTAACTAAAAGACAAAGTCCAAAACCCAAATCTAATCAAATTAATCTAACCTATCATCATCTGATCTAAAAGATAAAAATCACATTTGAAATGTAAAATGAGCATCCAGTATTTAAATCCAAAGAATTTGAAAATTAACCAAATCTCAGCTTAAAAGTGTCAAAAAAGATGAGAATTGATTGCTAAAACAAAAGATTCTAGTCCATATTCTCTATCTCCAAACCTGTTCGTGTGAAAACTAAAATTCTACTATTCTGTTTTACAGGGCCTGCAGTTGCTAGCATAGCCGTTATTATAAATTTGGCACCATCATCATTTTGGCAAACAATCGTAATAAACTTGGTCAAATTTTGTGGAGTTTTCTTGAATGCAATTAGTGCTCTATTACCAACTCAACTTTATTGGCAAAAGATTTAGATGACGAAGTATTCCAGATGAGTCTTCTACTTATAAATTATAGATATAATACAATCGCAAACAGACAATTTACTGTCTCATATCTTTCAAATGATAAGCGAAGTTCAATGAAGCTGACATTGCCACTAAGAAACAATTATTAATTACTGCAAAAAGATATGACCAGCATGTACCTGGTACCCATGTGAAAGATGTCCACCATGGGGAAGATCAAGTGCCATTATTCTCTCATGCGGCTTCAAGAGTGCAGTATAAACTTGGAAATTAGCAGGAGATCCAGACAGAGACTGCACATTTACTGCAATGGAAGCAATGATCATATTATTGATTCTTGAAGAGACCGAATCATTCAATAAGCAGTTGAAAGAATAAGACAGAATGATTAAGGAATATAACCCCTTTTACTAACAAGAATTCCAAAGATAATTTTCGCTATACAGTGGAAAAAGAACCATCAGGAAAATGCAACATTTGAACTTTAAAGATTGTTGAAACAAACAAGGTTACAAGGCTTAATTTCACAAGACCACCCTGAAATTTGGAGTTTATTGCACATAATTTCTCTAACTTTGTTCACCTCACATAATCCCCCTAAACTATGGGGTGTCTCACCAAGACCTCCCTAAACCTTCACCTTCCTCATCAAACCCCCTGCCTGTAATTTCCAAACAACTAAAACCTCCTTGAGAGAAAAAATCCCTAACTTTTTCATTTGTCATTTATAGGCAATATACCCCCTCTCCTAAATTTTCGGTTTTCCTCCTTAAGGAAACTTTAGCTATTTGTGAATTACGTGTAAGGGGGTCCGGTTAGAAAAGTTTGAAGTTTAGGGGGTTTTATGACACATCCTAAAGACATGGGTGATTATGTGAGATAAGCAAAGTTCAAGGGGCGTTATGTGCAATACCCCCCCAACCGAAAATTTAGGAGAGGGGGTATATTGCCTATAAATGACAAATGAAAAAGTTAGGGATTTTTTCTCTCAAGGAGGTTTTAGTTGTTTGGAAATTTCAGGCAGGGGGTTTGATGAGGAAGGTGAAGGTTTAGAAAAGTTTGAAGTTTAGGGGGTTTTATGACACATCCTAAAGACATGGGAGATTATGTGAGATAAGCAAAGTACAAGAGGCGTTATGTGCAATACCCCCCCCCCCCC